CCATCTCTGTCTGTTTGCAATTCTATTCTCTGATTAATTCATTTTGCTTTATCTGGTGCACTTATATACAAGAATAGAGGGTGCATAGAAAAGACCAGAGTTGCCACGAACAGACATGATCCTTCTAGAATATCATGATGTGTTACTAGCATCAAGCGACTTCTGCTGTCGTAACAGTATTCTTATAATCAATAGAAAGAGTAGAATTTTTCGCTAGTCTCTCCACGCTAAGTAAGCATAAGTAATAGATTGTTTTCAAATGAAAAGCATATTTCTGTTGGTGTCCATTGTGAATATATCAGTGTCTCCAGTGCTTGGCTATTGCTTCATGTCTTAGTTTGATAGACAGTTAAATTGCATTTAGGTTTTAATCATATATTTTAGTTAATTATGTATTATTAGTATTATAAACTTCATATTTGAAAGGCTTAATGATTTTTATTAGTTTAGTTATTTGTTTTGTATCTTGATGAATCCCAACATATGAAATGTGCAAAACACTTTGCCCTTGGGCTAACAAACGAGCCCAAGTGCCATTATGAGATGTTTTGGCATAACTAATAAAAGACGCAAAAATGGAAATGAAAATTAAATGTAAACTATAAGTGAAAAGTTAAAGAGTGAAAGTACTCACATGAGACAAAGAAGACTTTTAGTGATTTTCTATGAAGAGCTGGAAGGTATGTACATATTTGCATATGTTAATTTCAAACATTTCATTACACTGTATGTTGATGATAATAGCTAAATTTATTAGTGATATAGTAGAGAAAAGGAACATAAAATGTAAACATTTACTTTAAAAAGTTTTTGATATTCATTTATGAGGTTCTAGATATTATACAAATGAAATGTGAAAGCTGTAAGACAAAAAAATAGTATTTATATGCTTCACATAAATATCACCTTGCAGGTGAACTATTTAAAGAGTGAGTGCAAATAACTACATTAAATAACGAATTGTTTATTAGAAATAGTAGAAAAAATCAAAATCAAATGTTTTATTTATCTGAAACTACATACTTTTAAGAACTTTCTTGTTAAAATTCATCCATTACTTTTATTTTATGAACATAATATAATGATAGCAAAGTTATGTAGCTTGCAGTCCAGTAAAGGGTTAATTGTGATATTACAGGCCACATGGCATGAGATTGCCAATGCAATCTTAAACAATCCAATATCATATGTTAATTAAAGTTCATGTATGTGAAGGAAATCTATATAATCTAATGTTTAATTATTTTAATATGGATGTAACTATTGATATTATATATGAATGTAACTATAGCTATTATATATGGATATAATCACTGATGTTATACATGGATGTAATTATTGATACTATGTGACTATGGATATTGTATAAGATGTATCGTAAGAGGTATTAATGTAAATATTGATTGATGAAGAGAGATGGAGACAATGGAGGTGGGTAGTAAATTTTGTTACAAGTAACAAACTTTTCCTAAGGAGGGAGGAGTGAAGCAATTGGATATTTTTTGAGGGAATTTTACAATTGCTTCAGTATGTTTAGTAGTTAAAAAGAGATTAAGAAAGAAGTTATAACGATTTTCAGAGTTTTTGAGTGAACATATACATGAAGAAATGGCGTAAGTAAAGACGCCTGTATTGCGAAATAAGGTTGAGATCTATATAGTACAACTAGCTGGTTCAGTGGTATTGAGAATTAGGAATTATAAAAAGAAATTAAGATATTGCCTAACAACAAAGTAAGTGCACTAGCACGTATGACAGGTTGGGATTAATTATTGATGCCAACTCGTTAGTACTGTGGAAACTATGAAAGAGTTGATGTTAGCATGTAAAAGCAATATTTTTATGCCGTATTCCTTACATGACACTAGTGTACTAGCACAAGTGAAAAGGCAACTGGCTAACTCACCATAACAGTAACCAATCACTTGAGAGTTTTGGTTATGGTTTTGGACTAGCCCAGGAAGTTGCACAGATCGACCAATAAAGTGTAAGCACTACTTGCAGGTAGTTTGGAATACTATTTGGAAGGTCAAGAGAATACAAAGAAAATATGGGTGACAAACTCATGTCTGAAACCAAAACATCAGTTCTTCAGCTGTTCTTCCAGTCTTGGTTGAGAGATTGTACTATGAATATGAAAGTCTCAAACCCCCAAAAGTACTAGTCCAGCTCTGTTGTATGTATAGAATTATTCTCTCTCTTGATCGATGTTTGTGTAAAAGAAATTTGCTCTGTATGTACTAGTTTATTAATACTGCTTAAAGTAATAGTAGAAGTTACGAGAAGTTAATGATTAGTAAACTTTTTATTAATATTTTATGTTATGTGGAAAAATTTCATAAATTTTATTATAATTTGTTCAATGCTAGTCTGGGACTCGAATTCTTTATTCTAACTGTAAATTACCTCGAGTTAGCGACTTGTGAGCTTCACTAGCCACTGCAAATCATCCACTAAATAAATTTGTTGTAATCAGCAGTATAACTGAAACTACAACAATTAGCCCTAAGGGCGCTGCCCATTACAAAGCCACTAGGGAGCAATTGATATAAGGTATGCGAAAGCAATAGTTTTTGTTTGTTTGTCTATAATTAAGCACAAAGCTATACAATGGGCTATTTGCCCACCACGGGTATCGAAATCCGGATTCTAGCATTGTAAGTCCGCAGACATACCGCTGTGCCACTGGGAGCGAAAGCAATAGTAATGCTACGTCTCCGTTTGTTAATTAACTTTCCGTAACTTCGTTCCAACGAAACTTAAGCGACACAAGTCCTTTCTTAATAAAACTGGTTTATTATTTCCGAATATAACTTTACCAATACACTCAACTTCAACAATTGCGCTAAACAAACGCTGTAACGTCTCTCGTGCTCTCTGACTGCAGTTCAATTACTCACTGTCTATACACACATTACAATCTTCGCATCACGTTTTCCCCTCTTATATATACCCGCCTACCCTATCTAGTAAATACTAGAGCATTCATGAAAAAACAAGATAGTTCTAGAAAATAGAGGGCGCCACACCAGTCACGTGACCTCGATGACGCAACACTGCCCCTCCTTAATATTGTTCGTCCCGAACAATAACTACATACAATAAACCAATAACAATTAACAATAACTTAATTAACTGTATAGAATTACAAAGACAAAATTACAATT